GAAGATCTAACTAACATCATCTTGAACTTGTGGAACACGTCTTTTGACACCATAAATTTCCTTCATTTTCAAATATTTCTTACGATCGGCTTCTGTAACAGAGGGCCGAATATTCTGGATAGCTTTGAGGAAATGCTCCATGGCCACCGCATCGATACCGAGGTCGCCGCCGAAAAGTCGAGCTTTTAACGCGATGATGGACGCTTCGTGAACAAGTGCAGCTAAATCCGCTCCTCTGAAATCCACTCCATAACATAACGTAAGATTTATAGCAGAAGTGGATGTTTACGACCACTTCGCCAAAACGCCAGTAGAAAAACCCACGTGAAACCGTCCAGTTCAGGTAGATGAGACAATTTGTCGAAATCCACGTCAACACTTAACTTAGGATTGGTCCCATTCTAAAGAATCATGCTTCAGGCCAATTATAATAGAAGAAAAGACGATTCCTTTCCATATTTCCTCCTCCAATTTCTAAGTTCCCATTTTGAGTCCCCGTGAGTATAGACACAATCTCATTAGATGCACAGACGCATTATTCAATGAAGCGGATGCTACATATTTCGGAAACTCAATAAATATGTGTAACTGAGGTCCGTATTATTCCGAATCTTCATTAACACAAAAAAGAAGTGAGCATATATTAGTTACGATTCACGTTGGAACGAAATGCGACCCAAGGCAAGATTAGATACCCAGCATAAAAGTATGACTGGTCAAAGATAATATTAGTCGAGTCTCATCAAGAATGGGGCATGAGGTGTGACAGTTGTTGCTGCCTCCAGAAATCCCACTTTTCGCAGTGGGAGGAAACCTCGAGGTGCGCGAACCATTTTGCACCACAAGCGTCCCTCACCCCTGCCAATTGGTTTGTTCTAGACGATATAAACTGCTCCGCCACATGTCCTCTCCTTACTGGACAAAACCTTTAGTTGTTCTAACTTCACGCTTCCTCCTGTAACACTGTTCCTTTCTTCCTCCTTCTTCTGCCGCTCAAGTAGTCGTCTTCAAAAGTTTACTACATATGTATCAACCAGAGTTTGTTTGTCTGTCCGTGCGGCATAAGATTGTAAGTATCCTTCACAAGTTTGCAATTTTGCTTGCAAACTTACCTGGGTAATCAAGCTTGGGACGGGTAGAGCATGAGCCAGGCTGACCGGGGCAGACTTGGGCCATGGGAAGTCCCGGTGGGCGGCATCTGCATCTCAATGGGCTACACCGGAGACGAAGCTGTCCAGTACGTTTCCACAACATCTCAGGGACCAGAAAGAATGGCTGAAGGGCCAGTGGTGGAATTATTCGGTTCTAAGAGGGAAAGACCATGTTACTCATTTGCATTATTCAAAAGAGGAGGTCGCATATATAAGGTCTTAGAAGGGGTTGTATCTCCAGAGAAAAAACAGGGCAGAAGGCTGTGTCGACTGGCTCAGAATCACATACTAAGAACCAGCCATGATGGTGGGGGCCAGGGTCAACCCTACGTTGTTACGAGTAACAACGGGGGGTCGTACTCAGTTGAGCTTGGAGGGAGGGGGTCGTACCCTCTCGGTGGCCGACAGTGGGATTCTTGGTAATATCGGATAATAGCCAGCACGTTACGTTTTCGTAAGATGACTGATACTAGAGCATCTATAAACCACGCTTCCCTCTAAATGAGCTTTCAAATGAATCAGCGAAATTAGAAGGGCGCCCGAGGCGTGGCGCGCACCAAGGCAAGGGATGTAGTGCAAGCGCATGCTCGGAGCTTTCTAGCACATCCTAAATTAAACATAAAATTGGTCTTCCAAGAAGTTACGGGCAGTGAAACCTAAGAAAACTCGCGTTTTCGAGAAAATGGCTTGAAGAATACCCCTCAAAAAAAAGTAACAACGGGACTAATTTTTGAACTGCTGACTTTTCAGGAACGCTTGGGTGCTCGTTAGAAAGCTTGAATCCTGTAGTTTATTATACCGTGTTCAGCTTCCCAAATGAATGACTTTGAAGGAAGTTATGATCGTTTGAAGGTCAAAAAGTCGCCTTTGCACAGAAAAAAGTAACAACGTACAAAATTTTTATTAAATTGACTTCCGAAGAATTTTTACCCATGGTTGGATAGAAAATAATTTGAATTTTCCAAATCAAATCACTTCGGCGCTGAAGCTCGAATATGAAGGAAGTTATAGCCCTAGAAAGAGGAGTGTAAAAATTCTCTTGCAAATCTGTACAAATCGCGCGTATCGGATTTATGTCGCGGATTTTGCTAGTTTAATCTCTGATGACTCAAGTAGCAATAAATATTGACGCTAATCTATCTCTACACAAGTGTTACATACAAAGGGGGGGGGGGTCGTATCAAATCACCCATGAAGGGGGGGGGGTCGTAAAAAGTTTCCGAAGAGTAACAACGATAGGGTTGACCCTGTGGGCGGTTGTGCGAGGCGGTAGGGGAGAAAGCCGTTAGGTGGGGGAGTCACCCAAGACTGACGGTGGTGGAGGGAGTCGCATCGAGATCCCCTAAAGGGGGAGGGGCGTAAATTTTGGGAAAGTGCGAACGCAACGGTTGATGCTGGCCCAGAAACTGAAATCGGGAAGAATAGACCACATTTTAGTTATATACAATAAATAAATACATAAATAATATTATCACATTGTAAATTTTGAGCTATACGACGATATTGATTGAAAAATACAGGTTTTTGCCTAGGCGCTTACCCCTGGCCATAGTTTCGGATGTGGACGCAAAAATGAAAATTCCACGAGTTCACGTGGTATCAGTCAGTATTGATTAAAAATATCGCTTTTTGTGCAGCGGATCGAACAATTACCATCACCCTATAGACCTGTTAATCAAAGGGGACTTTTCACTCTAACACTTTTTTGAGCTCCAAAACCCCACCAAAACTGCGAAAATGCACTCAGTCTTGGATAACTCTTCCCAAGACCATCTTGCCTTTACCTTGAACTCAGAATCTTCTCCACAATTGAAAGGCTGCTTTTCAGCCAAACACTATTTCCATCTTTGGAACCTGTCCAAAATTGGAAAAAGTGGACTCCTTCTCGAACGAACCCTTCCCGCACGGCCGTGCCTTCATCATACCAGAATTTACTTCAAAAAAAGAAAGGCTTTTACATGAAGGTTACTGCTTGCTATTTTATAATACTCATAAGTTCCTTTACCATCTTCAAAACCCCATTACTGAGCAACCTAACATGCGCAATGGCCTTGAGGGTCCTGCGGCGACTTTTAGTTAGAGGTTAAAGATTAGATCATGTCAACAGCGGATGACAATTTTGAAGAAGTAGTAATAAGAACGAGTGTCACGGTTGTGAATTGTAGAAACGAAACAATCTATACCTTAGTTGTTTTTCTCAGAATGTCAGCACGATCATTAGGGGATGGAAAATCAACAAAGAGAATCTTGTCAAGGCGACCCGGGCGTAGTATGGCAGGGTCAACAATATCTGAAAAACCGTTGTAAAGTAAACGTAATTGATGCCACACTACAGTGTGCACAAAAATAAGTCTTAGTGGAGGAAAGAGAACGTAAACAATGACATAAACAAAGAGCTGCTTACCAGGCCTGTTCGTGGCACCAATAAGGAAAACCTGTTTTCGAACCTCGACGCCATCCATCTCCGTTAACAACTGATTCACCAAGCGAGCGCCACCAGAAGACTGGAATATGAACGTGTTTTTTTGAACATATACTCCACACGCTTTCTAAGTTGTAAAATAAACGATTACCTCATTTTGAGTTCTTTTCGGACATAAGGCATCAATCTCATCGAAAAATATAACGCATGGCGACGAGTCTCGAGCACGTTGAAACACTGTTCTCACAGCACGCTCACTTTCTCCAACATACTGAAATCAAGGAGGAAATGTTGGAAGAAAACTCAGAATTTAGTAAAAAAAAAATAAACGAATATCATAATTCAGTTATTCACACATTGACAACAGCGTGACGCGGTTGCGCGTCACACCCATGCCATTCCCTTTCCTCACGCGTGAGCCTTCTTCCCAAATTGTTCCTATTTGTTCTATGATTCACACACTATAACATAACTGTAAACGATGTGGTTCACCGTATAGTTGGAAATGCTTCACTTTGACCGCAACTGTACATCCGCGCACAAACAATTCCAACGATATTTCAAAGCTTTTAGGTGGAGACCCACACATGAGAGCCGATTCTCGCAATTTAGTGGACGAGACCGAGTACATGGCGCATTCTGGGGCAGGTTTTGAAGCCCACCTTTCTGAAGAACGATCAGGCTTCATAAGCGGTGATTATGCGCATCACATCCAATCAGTTATTCTCGAGATGAAACTCGAGTGCATGGCGCAATCCTATATGGAGCTTTTCCAAAAGCTGAAAACATATTCTTATAGTTCCCGACGAGGCGAGTGTAAGGACACCTTCAGATTTTGAAAAACTCAATTGAAACCGAATTCACGAAAATAAAGCGAAATCGCGGGATTCGCGTGAATCTTTGATTTCAAACGGCGAGTACTGAACTTGTTTCTCGCCATGTCCCTTTCCCAATGGACTCAAGACCCTGGAGAACAGCGATCGGCGCTACTGAAGAAAGATTCTAATGTCATTGTCGGATATTGTTTCTTGATTAACAGCGCATTTTCACTTACAAACCGAGTTCATGCATTATTCGTCGCCTTCGGAGTTTTTTTTGGGTTTCCAAAACTTTGCCCACCCTGTACAGTTTTCTAAGCATTTGTTCGAATAAGACTATTAGACCATTGGAAAAAGAAGCGATCTGGATGATTCTGCCTATGATAGTAGTTAGTTCATTTTGGGAAACATCCTCAACCAAAACCTTTAGAAAATAAAACAAAATTCCTTGAAGTGATCACATCGGCACGAATTTTCCGCACAATGACCCATATTTTGCACGACTACATCCACGCTCTTATGTAGCTTGCTTCTCCGTGAAATTCCACATACGATCGTATTTGTTTCATAACCTTTAGAATATTCTATGCTTGGCGGCGTACAAGGCAATCAATACACACATTCTTGCGACACCTGCACTTCGCCCACACGCATGATGTTAGCGAGACCCAAAAAGCGCATTCCCATGGATTCCTGGAAAAAAAAGCCCAGCAATTCCATCACTCCCGTAAAATTAGTATTTTAAGTGCCAAACTTTGAAAAAAAAAAGAACCCACACCTAAGGACTTTCAATCCACCCCCCCCCCACACACTTCTCAACGAAATCCAAGCGCGGACCAGCTGATATCGATTTCTTTTATGCGCAATATCTTGGCGTTTACGAGACTTGTCCTCTTCCCTATTATAGCCGCCAGGAGCCGCCCATTTCCATTTTATTCCTATTCAAACAAGCTTCTTGAACAAAGTCGATTTTCATCCGAAGGAAAATGAAATGAAAGAAATAAGTGCATGCGCATAAGTGCATGTGTATGATTTGTAGAAAGGGCCATAATGAATGATAATTGGCTTGAAACACTTCAATCATGAAACTTTGGGTGCAGCCGTCTTCCCCTTCCTCCCCTAGTGAACAATCATTTCTGGAACATGTCCTAGTTTCTTTCAAAAAAAAAAGCTAAAGTGCTACTCGAATGACTCATCAAGGAAACACTTACCATATTGAGAAGTTCGGGACCTTTCACACTAATGAAGTTCATGCCAGTCTCGTTCGCGACCGCCTTTGCCAACAGGGTCTTTCCACAACCAGGTGGTCCACATAGTAAAATTCCTTGTGGTTTAGCATTGATACCCAATAGAGCAAAATCCTCAGGTCGCTTCACTGGGAACTGAAATGCAGTGAATTCATCAGGTCGCTTCACTGGGAACTGGAATGCAGTGAATTCACAGAAAGTTTGATGTCGGCATAATGAAGGGACCCCTGTCGAAGTTTTAATTTCACCTACATCGATTTCACATAAGTTACACCTGCTCGTTGGGCAAGGGGATGACAATGTTACAATTAAAACGCTTCGATAAGCTACTAGTTTCTCACTGGCCTGTTGAGAGGTGGAATGAGAGAAGAGGGTCGTTTTGTTTTTTGTTTTTTGTTCTAGAGTGCAGCGGATCCTAAGAAGAACAACAGCCAAGCTGGATCATCAACAGCGTTGCCCCCCAATTCGGCTTCCTTAAGGGAAGTAATAACGAGAGACTTTTCGAAATTATAAAAAGGAAACGCCACCTTGACCCACAGACATCTCAAATGAATTTACAATACCTCTCAAAAGGTTGGAAACTGTTTTTGACCTAGCGCAGCCAATAAACAACGGAACTACCTCAAATGCACATATAATGCACAAAATCGGTGTAGAATATGAAGTGCAACATAAGTTTCCAAGTCAAATATCATGAATGAATAAATGCGATTTTTTAAAATGGCGCGTCAAAAATTTGGAAACTTCGCAATTCCGAAACGTATCCTGCACAACAGCTCTCGAATCCAAACGAAAAATTAGTAGTTTGTTGGTGACGTTATGTCTATTTATTTATTTATTTATTTATTTGCATGTACAAAAGTACATGGAAAAACACAACAAAACTGTGCCAAGACGTAACAACACAACTGGAAAAAAAACATCATAAGAAAATGAAGTAGAACAACAAAATTTTACTAGTGAATATGATTGTCCATCCTCTAAAAATCAGATTTGAAAATGAAAAATTTGAAGCCCTTAAGTATAGAATTTTGTAAATATTTTTTTAAGTGCGATAAACTGCTGGGCATGGCGAATTTTTTGGTGAGCTTACCAAATTCACTAGAAGCGCGAAGAGAAAAAAAATTTGCTCTGGTGTTGGATCTAGCAAATGGACGAACTAATTTGAAGTAGTAATAATTCTATGACGGCATCATTTTTATTATATTGACACTGAATTGATGAGAGCATCATTTTATCACTGTTAAAGAAAAAGCCCGTTTTTATGGGAGCGAAATGAATGTTCTGAGGAATTCTTTACCAGAAAGTGGATGGTGTAACATAAAAGCTCTTTCCTGAGGTGAGTGAAGAGCTCACGATCAGTTTGAGTTCAGATCTTGATTTGGTCGCTCGTAACAGCCTTTTTCTGAGTTTAGAAAGGCGGCAATGAAAAGGAGGCATGCATCGGAATCATTTGTCGTGATCAAAACCCATCTTTTCCGGCTAGTTCTGACTATCGAAGGAGGAGCATTGTATTCTACAGACTATCCTTGTACTTAGCCCAACCCACATTTCGCTGGATACTAGAACTGGGAATCGCCGAATGGTCGGACACATCTTCATCCATGACAATACTTCCACTATTTCTGACTGTTGGAATCTGACACCTAAAACGAGGTTTCCAGTTGACAGAACCCTTCACAAACGTCACAACATCACTTCCAGAAAGGCGAGATTCGATTATTTTTTACTCTCGCCTTCGATCCAGTATAGCCGGTGCGGGAGCCAGTGGAGTATTCCCTCTCTCGAAGCCAACGAAGGCTTTTCGGAATATCTTCCATATTTGCCAGAACCCGGAAGATCTTGAGAGGCACTCGTACTCTATTTGAAATGAGGAAATATCCAGAAAAGGATTCCCAGTCGAAGATGTGGGAAGGCGAGACGTGGCGACCACTGTTCGAAAGGTCAATCTGCATTTGAGGATATCTTTTGTGGAGACGTTCTCCTTGAGCTTGTTCGACTGCATCAACGCTAGACACTCTAGATAATAGCGCTTTCGCAAAGACTGAAGCTGAGCAACACTTCCTTCTGTGTACCAGATTGTAGAGTTTAAACCAAAACTTCTCCAATCGAAGTAGTACTACTTTTACATGGACTTATTTTAACAACACAACATACTTAATAATTGAACTATTCTTGAGAACCGTAATTCTCAAGAATGATTTTCGATTTTGGGAAATTAACCCTTTGACGACCGCCGTTATGAATGCGTCACTTCACTTCTTTCTAAATTTTTTCATCAATAATCATTAACTCTCCAACAATTTCACTATTAGTAGCGCATTATTCCGCGAATTCGATAATGTATTTGTGTAGTTTTGAAACATAAAAAATGCCAAAATAAACCCCTAAAAACGTGTCGCCACCGAGCGAAAGTGTGGCCCACCGGCGGGCCACACGGTCGTCAAAGGGTTAAGGAAGCACTTCCTATTCTAGACCTGATTTTGTAGACAATACGTGAATTGCGATAATTTCGTAACTTATTAGTCGCGCTAAATCAGAAACAAAACACCTTCCGACTTTCTACCGATAGCATCTGACTGACACCTCAAACTGAAACTCCCCCCACCCCTTTCCCACCAGACAAAGAATTCCGCTGGAAGGCACAGCTGTCAGAAAGTAAAACGTTTGTTGCAGTTCCACGCCTGAGAACTACAACACCATTAGAAGAAGGGAACATACTTAAACCTGTGAAAACGTTACTTTAAAAGAGCTTTTTTAGGTCACCCTATTTCAGCCCACCCATTGAACAATCTTCAAGGTGATCCCTCATTGTTTGGGAGCAGCCGTTTGCCCCTAGTGCATCTGTCCTTTAGCAGGCTAGCCCGCACTCTCGCACTTGTTCCAGGCAGGGAGACGAGACATGCCGGCACTGAACGTTAGACACGCAGAGCAAGTACGGGTCGGTCAACAAGCGGGAC